CCCCCATCGTCAGAAAAGTGAGATAGAGAGGAAAGTATCAGACCTGTTATCAGCAGGATTCATCCAACATAGTCGTAGCCCTTTCTCTTCCCCAATTTTGCTTGTCAAAAAGAAAGATTCCACATGACGCATGTGTATAGATTACAGGGCGTTGAACGCATTAACAGTGAAAGATAGGTTCCTCATACCAACAATTGAGGAATTGTTAGATGAATTGTTGGGAGTGTGTGTGTTCAGCAAATTAGATTTACGTGCAGGTTATCACCAGATCAGAATTATGCCTGAAGATGTTCTAAAAACGGCTTTTTGAACCCATGATGGACATTACGAATTTCTCGTAATGCCATTTAGACTAACGAATGCACCAGCGACCTTCCAATCTGCAATGAACCAAATATTCAAACCCTTCTTAAGGCGTTTCGTTATTGTTTTCTTTGATGATATATTGGTGTATAGCAGTACCTTGGAGGAGCATATCTCACATCTGGAACAGGTACTCACTTGCTTAATTCAACATTCATTTTTTGTTAAACTAAGCAAATGTGATTTTGGAGTGTATGAGATTTCATACTTGGGCCACATTGTATCTACAAATGGAGTTAAGGCTGATCCAAAAAAGACTTCAGCTATGAAGGAGTGGCCCCAACCGACATCTGTGAAACAGTTGCTTGCATTCCTTGGCTTGTGTGGTTATTACATGCGTTTCGTCCACCGTTATGCCACCATTGTAGCTCCTTTAACAAATTTGTTAAAGGAAGATAAAGTTAAATGGAGCGAAGAAGCAACGTTGGCCTTCCATAAGCTTAAGGAGGCAATGTCAACTGCACCAATTCTAGCCCTACCTGATTTTTCCTGCCCTTTCATTGTTGAATATGATGCTTCTAATACTGGTATAGGGGCTGTACTAATTCAACAAGGCAAGCCAGTAGCCTATTTCAGTAAAAAGTTGGGTCCACGATTGTTAGTGGCTTCTACTTATGTTCGGGAACTATATGGGATAACTGAAGCAGTGAAGAAATGGAGACATTACTTATTTGGGGCCCATTTCATTGTTCAAACTGATCATCATAGTATAAGGGAACTTTTATCTCAAACAATCTTGGTTTCTGAGCAGCACAAGTATGTATTGAAGTTGTTGGGGGTATTCCTTTAGTATAGAATATAAACCTGGGAGGTCGAACACGGTAGCTGATGCACTGTCGAGGCAACATGATGTGGGTGCTTTGTTGTCACTGCTGGGTGAGCGTTTTTTTTGACGTGTTGGCTCAAATTAAAGTTGAAAATGATACTAAACCAGAGTTGCTGCTAATTCATGATAAGTTGTCACGTGGGGAACAGGTGAATTCTGATATCACATGTAAAGATGGTATGCTGTTCCATCAAATTCGTTTTTTATTGAGTGCAGATTCCTCTTTGAAGAGGTTGTTGTTAGAAGAGGCCCACTCTTCACCAATAGGAGGCCACGCAGGAAGCCTTCACACTTTTCTCAGACTTTCAGCCTCATTTCATTGGCCTAAGATGCATGTTGATGTCAACAAATTTGTCCAAGAGTGCCCAATTTGTCAGCAAATAAAGACTTCAACTCAGGCACCATTAGGCCTGCTACATCCTTTGCCCATTCCAGAATCAATGTATGAGAATCTCACACTTGATTTTATTGTGGGGTTGCCTCGTTCAAATGGTTTTTCATCCATTTTGGTAGTCGTTGACCGTCTCACATAATATGCTCACTTTGGACCTTTATCAGCATCATACACAGCAGCAATTGTTGCAGAATTATTTTGCGAAATGGTCATCAAACTCCATGGATTTCCTCGTTCTTTGGTATCTGATCGCGACCCAATTTTTATGAGCCAATTTTGGCAGAGGCTGTTTAGACTGAGTGGTACTAAGTTGAATGCTAGCTCAACCTATCACCCACAATCTGATGGCCAGTCTGAGGTGATGAACAGGTATTTGGAACAATATCTCTGTGCTTTTTGCTCTGATCAAAACCATCGGTGGTCTTCTTTTTTGTGTTGGGCAGAACTCCATTACAACACCTTGGTACATTTTGCGATTGCTATGAGTCCTTTTCAAGCTTTGTATGGGCGTATTCCTCCAAGCATTCCCCATTATCCTCGTGGTTTACAAAAACTTGAGGCATTGGAGACCATGTTACAGCATAGGAATGAGCTACTAGTTCAGCTGAAATGGTCCCATGCGAGAGCCCAAAATAGAATGAAGACTTTGGCTGATCAGCACCGTTCGGATCGTAGCTTTAGTGAAGGTGATTTGGTGCTAGTGCGGCTTCAGCCTTATAGGCAATTGCCAGTCCAACGTCGTGCGAATCAAAAATTGGCAAAACATTTTTTTGGGCCATTTCTCATACAGAAAGTGATTAGCAAGGTGGCTTACCAGTTGAAGTTGCCAGATGGGTGCAAAATTCACCTCACGTTCCATGTTTTAGCTCTCAAGCTTTTCAAGGGATGTTCTAATGTGCCTTTTGCCCCTCTTCCAGCAGAGAGTATAGGAAATCAGCCATTACAGGTGCCAGTTGCCATTTTGTCCAAGCGCACTGTTTCGATGAAGGGAAGACAACAACAACAAGCTTTGGTTCAATGGTCTGCTACTGTACCTGAAGACGCATCTTGGGAGACCATATCAGAGCTCCGACATATTTCCCATCGTTGGACCTTGAGGACAAGGTCCCTGTTGAGGAGGGAGCAGTTGTTACGCATAAAAGAGTAGCAAGAGTAAGATGTAAGCCATTTTGGTCAAAGAATTACTGTGTTGTTTAGTAGATGTATATTTGTAGACACGTAGATGTATATCTGTAGACACATGTTGTAATTAGGAGTGAATTTAGTTGAGTTGCTGTTAGTGGATTGGTTGGTTGTTATAGCAAGGGGGGGGGAGGGGGTCTATGTGTCTGTAAGGGAAATGAATAAGGAAGACTTTGTAAAAGGGAATTGTAAAGTACAGTATTGGTATTTGATAAATAAAAACTCAAGTTTCGCTTTTGGTTGTTACCCTTTTCCCTCTTTTTGATACATAACGTATCAAAATGCAACACAAATTTATATAGGACATTCTTGGTGGATATCATCGGACACTTCTGGCATCCTAGAGCCAAATGTGTAAAGCGAAGGAACTGAGAGTTTTAGGTCTAATAGACCTTCAAAAGCAAAACGAAGCCTATTTTTCATAAACTAGCCTGGAACATTATTTCCAATCCTAAAAAGCTTCGGGTCCAAGTGCTTCTGGCTAAGTATGGCTGGGGAAATGATATTAAACGTGACATCTCAATTAAGCAATACAATTTACCATTATGGAAAAGTTTAAGCAAGTGTTAGGATAACTTTCTAATTTGCATGTAGTGGGAAGTTGTAAATGGAAAATCCTTGAAGCTTTGGACGGATAACTACCTAGGATGGGACATAAAGTTTATCAACTTTGTAAAGTAGGATCTCCCAGTAGAGGAGTCTATCAAAAGTAACCATGACTAAGCGCTAACAACAATTGAAAATTGGAACACCCATTTTTTTCTTCCCCACATGCTAGTTTTTGTGGAAATGGAGAAACTAGTCACTCCATGAAGATGATTTTCAAAAACCCAGGAAAGTAGTACAATTATCATCGAGTTCATTGAAAGTATACGTAGATTAAGAGATAAAACTTAGGGCTTTATTAATCACATGCAATAGGAGACAACTCTCTCATGCAGTAGAGATAATCATGTGTGGGACCCACCCCTATAGAAAAAGAAAAAAAGAATAAAAAAGTAACACGAAAATCGATGTATGTGTAGGAGAGAATTTTTCTCTCCTACAACATAAGAGTATATTTTCCCCAAAACTTAACACTGGCAGATTGGCATTACTTCTATAATTGCGACCTTTGACGGCAACAATTAGATTCCACCATAAACAGATTGGTTGAAACTTAACACTGGCAGACCCTCTGGTAGAACCTCTAGATTAATTGGTTGCCACAAACTATTGAGAGATAAAAATGGTAATATTTTAGGAGGTTTTTTTTTTTTTTTTTTTTTTTTATATACAAATGAAAATTGAACATATACTCTGATACAACTTATCAAAATTTCTCACCACTTCTCACCACTAGACTTCTAGGAGGCTTTTTGTACAAAATGGACTACTATAATCCTAGGGATGCTGAGCAATGAGGCATGCTCAAGGGAACTTGCATGAGTTTGGGAATAAAAAAAATCAACTAGATATAAAAAAATCAACTAGATAGCGATTTATTTCTCGTGCCTTTTGACCTTTCCATGTAAATAAAATATACAAACTCTTCCACGTTAATTTGCAATCCATTCTACTAATCTTATACACATCCTTTGATAATGTGTGCTTTACTTTTATAAAAGAGACAAGTTTTCTACTATTTTTAAACAAATATTATAAATATATAGATATACTGTAAATATATTTAAATTACCGCATAATAATATTAAACTAAATATTTTTACTATTTTGATCTTATCTATTTATTAATTTTAAATATTTGTTATAACATTATTATTAAGTTTCCTAATTTCATATTAATAAAAATATCAATTTCAAACCAATAAAAAACATTTAAAATATGAAATTTAAGCCTATAAAACTAAAACTAATAACAGAAATATTAAAAACAAATAAATAAACATGTCAATGGTGAATCCAGTTTTAAAAACATCAGCCTTAAAATATACATTTTTTTATTTAAAGTAATAAAAGAATTACCGGACCATCTATAACTTCATACTTTACATAATAAAACATTCAAAACTGCACTTTTTTTTTTATGAAAATAAAAATCTTAACAAGCAAACTGATCATCTTGCAAGGAGAGGCCGCATATTCATGGCCTTCGTGTTATCCTGTGTCTACCCATTCAAGTTTGAAAGATTAAGTAGTTTTTTTTTTTGTTTTTTTTTTGGGAGAAGGATTTGGAAGTGTTAAATCCTCATATCTTTTAACAACCATTTTTCACAAAAGATATAGAAACTGATATATATGAGCAAAAAGTCTACTCCTTTTCCAAAAGAAGCATAAGAGCAACAAATAATTTTGACAAGTTTATAGCATGCTAAATTGAGAGGAGAAAAGAAGTCAGAAGGTAAAAGAAACAAGTTTGCAGAAAATACAATGGGGCATTGAGCACAGGTTGTTCTGTGCTTTGCAGTTAAACTATGAGCTGTACAATGACTCTACGCAGCTTCACCATCCGGTGAATCCATAAATGATGATTGAATCCTATTTTCTTACCATATCTCTTGTGATCACTATTCACATGCCAGTTTTGTGTCAAAACTTGTCAAGCAAATTGCAAAAGCCTGAAATGCAGATAGTGGATATGTATAGTCCATAGTGAACATATCCTTGCCAACCTTACCAAACTGAAGAATAACCTTGTCATGGTCAGATTGTGTTGGCTGAGATGATGTAGGACCTGGCTGAGATGATGTAGGACCAGTGCCTGAAGGCTGTGTTGCAGCAATCAGCTGAAAATTCTTGACAGAGGCAACAGTCACCCTTCCCTTGAAGTTGAGACACCAACATTGCAGCTGCTCATGCCATCTTGGTGCTTTGTTCTTAAGAACTAGAGGCCTGTCTTTCACCTCCTCACCACTGCCAGTGCCGATTATGTCGGAGAACCTAGAGCTGCTAAACTCAGTTGAGTTGTGAATGGATCTTGAGAAGGATATGCTCCGGAAGGAATCCTCAAGGGTGCGTGGAAGGAGCTCCGGTTGGCCTGGAACAATGCCACCAGGCTCAAGGGCTGATGTAGGGATTGAGTGCATGGTGCAGTGCATCCTGCGTGGGCCCCTAGTACCAAGGACATTCAACTCATAGTTGATATGGGAAATATTGTAGCTGCCACTAGGGACCTTTGGAGAAATCTTCTTTGAATTAAACCTGCGGCTGCGGCCTGGAGGAGACAGCTGAGAATTGTTATAGGGTGGCTGTGTATCATATATTATAAATTTGGTGCCAAGAAAATTTGACCTGAAAAGAGAGGAAATTCACACAGTATGAGTTTATAATGACAGAAAAATGCAGAAAAAGTGTGATTTCTAGTACATTAACTCTGAGAAGATGATGTTATAAAAAAAATTTAATGAACCAAAACACTTCAGGACACATCACGTCCAGGCAGACAGAGATTAAAATTGAAAAGTAAACACATTGATAAGAATTATAATCATTTCAAAATTAAAAGAGAAAAAGATATTAGACATGTTGTTAGGCATTTATTAGCATCCATTAATAAAAAGATTAGATTGGCATCCTAATTGGTATCAATTAAGAATACATTCGTTGTCCATACCTTTTTAGCATTTTAAATATTTGTTATAAAGGCTAAATGACTGAAGGGAATAAACAAGAAGAAGAAATTACTTCCTTCCCATAATTCTCTTATTCTCTTCTCTCTCTTACAATTAATCAGCCATTCTCATCCCTCTCCTTTCCTCTCTTCAATAAAATTTCCCTTAACATTTTGATGCTTTAATCGACTTTGAATCCCATCATACCGGTGACACGATCTCAAGAAAATGAGGAGGCCATAACTCACTTACACCATAATTTCACTGAGTTGAGGTAGGGGCATGATGAGACCTTGAGATGCACCACCCCAAAAGCTAGCTCAAAGGGTGGAAATGTCCAAGGTTTTATAAATCCCACATTAGTTGCTCATACAACTAATGTGGGACTCCAAGTCCCATACCTTGCAAATGTAACCCCAACATTCCACCACGCTTCCCTACTGCGTGCCCCCACGCACAACTCCACGTGATGGATACTCTGATACCATTTGATAAGACCTTGAAATGCACCACCCCAAAAGCTAGCTCAAAAGGTGAGAGTGCTCAAGACCTTATAAATCTCACATTAGTTGCCCATACAACCAATGTGGGACTCCAAGTCCCATACCTTGCAAATGGAACCCCAACAGGGCATAAATAAGCTGAGCGGCCTATCAGGGGCCTACAGCCTGGCTAACCTTAGACTTGACCTGGCCTTGTCTAGTTAGAAAATACAACAGGTTTAAACTTATAAAAACTTACATTTAGGTCATAGACCGACTCTAAAAAGTATGGCCTAAAAGGCTGCATACTGGCCTTTTAATATATTTATGATATATATTATTCATTTGTCTTAACCATAAATAAAAGGATATTTGTGATATTATTAACAAAACTACTTGAGAATTTTTATAATTTGGACTCTTGCTAGAAACATTAATGAATGGAAAATTTCATCTTTATAATTTTAGTTTGGTTTGCAACTAGGTAGGCCTAGAAGGCCTTATAGGCCATATAAGGCTTTTCATTTTTTTACAATAGGACAGAGGCGTACAAACCAAGCCTTTAATAGATTAATAGACCAGCGTAGTCTCTAAATGTTTTAAATATTTTACATAGACTTAGGCTATCAAGGTTAAAGCTTGGCCCATTTACACCCCTAGTTGATGGCCTCTTTCACTACATTCCAAAACAAACAACTGGAAACCCTTATGGCTTTACTGGATAAGAGGGATGGGTGTCTAAAGGCCGATCTACAACTCAATACTCCAGCACCAGGCCTTCTAGGATCATGGTTCCTAGAGTCTACCACCTTCCAATGAACCCTCATTACAAGGTTGAAAATGCGCCTTACGTTTTCGCACCTTCGTTCAGAAGACCCAATGGCATGGCATTTTACTGTGAACTAATATTTCATAAATTACAACAAACACCCAATCATTGACTACTTTTGACAATTTGACCACAATGCATCTCGACACGCCGATAGCAACATGGTAACAAGGCCTTGTGGTTGAGAGTCTCTTAATCGATTTGGACATTGTGCGCACAATTCATCATCAATTTGTCTCAATAGAGTATGAAGATGTCATAACCCTTCTCGCCAAGCTTTCTCAAACGATGTCATTTCTAGATTTTTAAGATGCCATCATAAATTTGAAAAGCAAAGTGCAAAGTTTTATTCCTGACCATTTGAGGAGTTCACTTATTTCAGCATTGACACGAATGGCTGCAAAAGCTCACCAAGCACGATGTTAGAACAAACTATGCTTCAATTGTGACATGAAGTTCATCCACAAACATTGATACAAAATTTCTGTCCTATTAAATTTTGAGGTTCTTTGTAACATGGAAGACTACTCGTTACCACTTGAGCCCTAACTCATTCACACGCCACACACGACCTCTCAATTTGAGGGCAAGTCATGTCATTAGACAGGGAGGGAATGTTAGGTATTTATTAACATTTATTAGTATCCTTAATAAAAAGATTAGATTGGTATCAATGAGGAATAGCATTTATTATTACCCTTTTAACATGTTAAATCTTTGTTAGAAAGGCCAAATGGACGAAGGGAATAAGAAGAAGGAATTACTTCCTTTCCTATAATTCTCTTATTCTCTTCTCTATTTTGCAATCAATCAACCGCTCTCCCCTCTCTCTCTCCTCTTCTTGCTCTCTTGTTTCAATTAAAATTCGCTTAATACATGTTAATGTTAGAATTCAAAATATATTATTCACAAAAAAAAGAGTGCATTAATACAAATTTGATATTACTTAAAAAGCTTCAAAAGTCACAACCATGAAATTTTTTTATACCTATTACGTTACTTGTATAAAAAAAGAGAAACATTCAATTATAGAAATTATAAACGCAACCACGAGCCCTTAGGAAGTAATACGACTTAGCCGATGACGGAGTGATATAGATGACTCGATAACAGTACACCCTTGCTTGGATGGTGATCACTAGCTTGTGCCTCTTCCCCTTTACAACGTCAGTTAGGTCAACAAGTCTCAAAGACTAGTCACCAGTATGCCCAAGTAAGTTGATGGCTCCAAAATCACGTGAGAGAAAATTGAAATCGTCGTGTACAAAACCTCAAGCTTGCACTTGGGATTTCGGTTGAGTCCGAAACAACACTCCACGTATTGTGTTTCTAGTGGTGGAGGCTTTGCCGGCCTTCGCAAAATCTAGAGCTCCCTCACAACCACAAGCTCTTCTCCTTTCAGCTCTCACATCGCGAGCTCCTCTATCGCAAAAAAGAACATAAGGTTTTTGTCTACCAACACAATCTTGTTTTGGATTTTCTTACCTTTCCTTGCTTCGATCTCCTCCTAGTCAAGCACCTATGTTTTTCGTCGTATCACCAAAAAATATCCAATCATCTACAGTCCATGCATGACCTCTTCCTTCTCAATTTCCTCATTCCATTTCATGGTCTACATCTTCCCATACATAGAATTACTCTACATCTCCATTTGTAGCATTGAAGACTCTAGTTTTGCTTCCAAACACCTACTGGTAGATCCAAATAGTACTCAAGTTGAAAACGTTTGAGCAATGCCTTCAAGAAAGTCAGCCAAGTCACAATTGGATTGAGCCAACCCCAGCACTCGTACCAAATGAGAGCATGACCTTTCAACACCTTCATAGCCTCAGGTAACCCCTGTACTTCGTATATTCTCTCTACCCTGAAATACTAATCAACATCAATCAACCACCGATAAGCTTCTTATCCTTCAAACTCTATAATCATCTTTCGTTCAATATCTGCAGCTCCGAAATTGAGACGTTTGATACCAATTGATAGGAACTAGATATTCTATTACAGCAAAATAGGGATAAACCCTAATTACAAAAATGAAAAAACTCACAAAACAAGAAAGCAAAGACAAAACTGCAGAACTTCGAGGGTCTGCAAACCTCCCTACCCAAAGGCCCCAAAACTCACTCAATGACTGGATAATGATCACCCCTACCTCCTTGACACATAGGCAAGGTTGCTACAATCCAAATCCCTCTTTTCCCCATGCTCATAATTCCCACAATCTAGTATAGGATTGACTAACAACATCATCAAGATCGATGTTCATATTATATTCCACAAAGAATTAACTTTACAGACAACTGTTCAAAACCATTTAGATTTCTTCCATGTCATTCAAACTAAAAATTAGTCAAAAACCATGATTGATCACACAAAATGCATGTTGTGATAAACTGGAAATCCAAAAAGATATACCTCAGTTTTCCAATGTAAGTGCTACTAGATCTTGATATATTATCTGCATCCATTGATATAATGTACTCTGTGCAGGTCGTTCTTCTGGTCCGTTTGGCAGAAAGAAGAAACTTTCCATTTTCAATTAGCAAGGCTGTAGGAACAATTATGAATTCCAAACATGTTTTAGAGACAATGGTAACCAAGTCAAAATTTTAAATGCATACTTATAAGCTATAAAACTATAGTAATAGCAATGCAATTTTAGGTTCAAAATATGGAACTACTAATGCCATTAGACTAGCCAGCATAGGAAACAATTAAATCAATAAACTAAAATTGAAAAACGACATCCATTCGTTGTTATAGTAGGATATAAAAATGGAGCATGAACTATTTGTTCATGATTCCAGGCTTCCACCTAACCTCAGCTGCACAGAGCTGACTGAAGCATAACACAACTAAATCGTTTCCAAACAAAGCGGTATGCATCAGCATGCAGACACTACTCTTAATGTAGTTGAAAAGGATAATAAAACAGCTTGTCAACAGGAAGCAAGAAGTGGCAACCACTCCCAATCCCACAGCTTGGTAACTAGAAGATAATTGCTAACTTCAATAAAAATGAACACAATAAACCCATTAGTAGGCTATAGCAAAGAACTTCACATTTTTAAAGTGTAAACAACAATTGATAGGTAACTAAATTGCCCAAACAAGAATTTAATTTTGATGAAATAGAACAAACAACTACCACTATGACATGGAAACTATTAGCAAGATCTGGTTTGTGGTGGCACAAAACAAAAAATTCTCTTTGCAAATATGCAAGGTAAGACTACATACAAAATCATATATTTTAGCAGGTTCAAATTCATAGTCATCTATACAATCAACCTAATAATCCAGTGGTCCTATACTTTAGAATGATGTCACCAAAGTTTACAGGATGTGCCAACCTCGGATTGAATGCAGGTTTTGGTAGGTTCATAAACAATTGAACAAGAATAAAATTTTCCAGAATAAGATGATACTATTGAGCTCTACATTTTTTTGAAATGACACGGCATAAGCAATTTAGCAAAATTACAAATCAAGGCAACATAAAAACTTCCACACTGAATGATGAATCCATTAAGATTAATAAGAAAAGAAGTAAAATAGATCATACACGAAATTACCATAGGTTAATAAAGTACATGACATAAAAATTCAAATCAATTACAAAACAAGCTGATCAGATAAACTCATATATATGGGTATCAAAAAGTAGAACTTGAGCTTACTAGTACTAAGACAAAGGTATAGGTGGTAAGTCAGATTAGATTTGTCTCTCTTGATGAAACACTGCATGGTTCCATCCCTAGCACCAGGCTGTAAAACAAGAATAAAAAATCAAAAAGCAAAATTCGGACTTGCACAAAATCTATATCTCTCATGCATGAATCAATTCTTTTAAAATTACAGCTTGAAAACAGTGTAGAACACAACAAAAATCTCACCTGCTTCAGGGAGACAGCAAAAGTAATCTTCCCACTTAACTCAGGACTGCTAACAATTTCTTTGCACATTTCTCTCCATGACTTGCACACAGCACCACATGCAACCACATGTTTACGAGCAGGCCATTTACTCTCACTTGCTTCCAATCTTATAATAACCTCGCGAAGAAGCTCAGTTGGAAGATTAGCCCACTCACTGTTCTGTATCACTGGCGGCTGTTCCTGTAATTCATGAACAGAACTATGTGACTTGCCCATGTGGCCAGGAAGCCTCACCTCAGAACTCCGCCATGATAAGCTTCCAAATCCATCCTTTACATCACGAACAATACTGCGGAAGGACATTTGCTACAACACACTAACAGCCCCAGAATTTAATATGTGATCAAAACCACTTAAAGGATTAAGTTCCACTAACCCACTCTATTTAGAAGAGTATGTAGAGCTGCAAATAAAACAAACTTTAATTTAAATTCCAGCTTCAATGCTTAGTAATGAAGAAAGAAAAAGAAAAAGAACACGTATAGGGAAAAGTACAAAAAAAAAAATGAGAGATTCTCATAAAAGAAAGCCTCACATGAACCTAAAGGCCAAAGCAGCCTAAAATTTCAGACATTAGTCAGAAACATATGCTGGCGAGTTTTATACATTATATCCAACAGTTGAAAAGCCTAAACCTAACTTCTTAACAGAGAAATCGAATTCAAACTATAATCTTATCAAAAAATTATGATTGTATAAACCAACTTACCTTTCCACCACAAAGAGAGATTTTTGTTTTGTTTTTTTAAAAAAGGCCAAAAGTGCAAACTAGAGAATCACTAGTAATCAGTTCATAAACCTAATACATTTATTTTATTTTGAAACAGAAAAAGAGATTGCCATATATATAATGTCTCTCACACGCACAGCAGCAAACACAAATGACCCCACAAGAAGAATACATGGTATTAAAGGTGTACTTGAGATAACAAACCTCAAAAACAGAACTTTTGGTATGAATTAGGCTCCCTACACACTCTAATACAAAAGATCTATAAAGAGCATATAAATATGAGACTTTTCCCTTTCAACCATCAAATTATTAGAAAGAGAAAACCCAAACTCTTAGAACCAGAAAACAAAAATTAACAAAAAAAAAACACTTTTTTTCCCCTTTCAAGATACCCTAAAGGCCAAAACTGATCATTGATAACAGACGAATAATTGCATTCTGCATAAACCAAAATCAAAAGATTAAAAAACTCATAACAAGGATAACAACAAATTAAACCCAAATGGAAATTCCACCAAAACCCAGACTTGAAAAGAAAAACGGAAACTTCCAGAAGCTGCAAGAGAACCCAGAAGAACAAACTTCAGAAACCGCTAACCAGACAATGAAAAATTCTGGGTCAGGAAGTTTCCATCACTTCAATCACAGTTCACAAGAAGAAATCCCAAAAAAAAAAAGAACAACAATAGAGCAAACAACAAACACTACATAACTCCAGAATAAAAAGGTAAAAGATCAGAAGAAGAACAAGCTCACCATCATCATGTTCTGGGAAGCAATGTTTCTTTCTTTCTCTCTCTCTCTCTCTCTCTAAAAGTTTGTGTTTCTCTCTCTTTCTTTTTCTGCGTCCGTGAGTGTGTACACACACAGCCTCTGACTCTTAAAGACACGCACTCAATGCGTTTCTTAAATCTTCCCCAGAAAGAAACTATAATTTACACAACCAGAAAAAGCTGCGTAATTTAACTATTAACTACCCAATAATATATTTTTAAATTGAGATTATTAACTTTTAAATTTTTATTATATAAATAAAATAAAGCTAATGCCTTCTTGAAGTAAACGTTGTTTCCTGTGGTTGCGAAGTTACAGTTTTACCCTTGACTGTTGACCAGTGTTGTATTGTGTTGCGAGTTACGAGTTACAACCTTCGAACTTCATTACACGACCAAGGGTGTGTGGGGAAGGAGAGGTATGATACAGTGCGGTGTGGTGCAGCGAAGTTTAAGGTAAGGACACGACAAAATAGGAGTTCGTGTCATGGAGAAAATTATGCCGAAAATATTGCCTCTTCTGTGCAAATATAATTTGTGCAGTTAAAAAAATTCGAAGGTTGCTTTAGTGGCGGACCCAGGATATAATGTTTATGTCCGCACAATTAGTGGCGGGGGTTCGGGGGCGCCCCCGAAAATTTTTTTTGTAAAGAAAGTTTAAATCAATGCTTTATGTACAAGGTTATGAACTCGCTCATAATCTAGTTGCTTCTATAACAAGCTACAGGCAATAGTTTGACCAATCATTCCCCCTAAATGTTACCAATCCTCCAAAACAAATATGAGAATAAACTCCAGTACATCCATACATCATCATTCTATTTATAATGGTGAATAAAAAAGTCAACATTACCTGTACAGAAGGGAAAGCTCTCATCTCTAGAAATTAACTTATTTGAGAATGTCACATCTGCAATCAATCCTCTCTTTTTAAGCCAGAATATAGCATCAAAGCTGAAAGCAAATCGCAATAAAAAAAGTAGTATATGAAACATGAATTAAAGCAAAAATGAATAGAACAACACAATAAAAAATACCAGATAACAACAAAAATAATAGAAGCTAATACCACGTTGGCAGTAGAAGACGACAAAAGCATTCTTCGATTTTTCATTCTTTGAAAATATTGCATTATATCTTCATCATCAATATTATCAAACATATCACGTTCAACATAAGTTAGCATGCATGCGTTAAACCAATCATCACTTATCCGATTGCGCAACTTATCCTTAACAAAAGTCATTGCAGAAAAAACTCGTTCAACACTAGCAGTTGCTACCGGTAGAACGAGTGCCAACTTTATCAACAAATAAACCAATGGATAAACAATATCCTTTCTCTTCTCAACCATCTTCAAAGCAAGGTCAGAAATTCTTTCCAAATTGACAAAATCAGAATCAGCTCTTACATCAACAATAAAATTACCAAGACTTGAAGAAAGAAAAGGAATATCTGCAAGCTCATTAAACTCCAAAGGATAAAATCTAGCAAACTCAATCAACTTTTCTTTGTTAAAACTAGCAAATGAATCACGAGGGTCAAGACAACTCAAACACTCAAGCAACTTCGTATTGACATTATCAAATCGATCACCCAACTCTTGAACCTGAGTATCTATCACTGTATTAAATAACTCCACCTTAAAGTAGTGCAAGAATGTGAATGATTCCAATCTCCGTCTTGATATTCCTTTAGGATAATAAACATCCTCCATATTTGGAATGTCAATATCATATTTATTTGCAAAAATGTTCGTTTCTTGAAGCAATTCATCAAAACCATTATCTCTCACCTCTTGTAAACGAGACTTGACAACCTTCACTAAACCAATTGCATTTAAAAGGTCTTGATCTTTTCTTTGTAATGCTTGTGACAACTCATAAGAAATCCCCAAGATAAGTTGCATAAGATGCAACAAGAATGCAAACTCATAATCCTCCATGGCATACAAAATGCAACCTGCATCAGTTCTTGCAGCATCATTCCTAGGCTCGTCTTCAATAATTTTCATCAAGGAAATTATTGGAGAAAATAATGAGATAACACTTGTAACTGTACCAAAATGGGAACCCCAACGAGTGTCTCCAGGTCGCTTTATGGTTGTCTCTTCATTTAAACCTTTTCCAGTTGGTATTTCACCGCGAGCAATTCTTTCGACTATATGCTCATATTGATTCATTTGAAGAATTTCCTTCCGCTTGCATGAACCCCCCACAACGGTAGCCATCTTTTTAAGCATGTCAAAAAATTCTTGAATCTTTTTGTGATGTTTTGCAACCTTCACAAGTGCCAATTGTAACTGATGAGCAAAACAATGAATGTATAATGCAGACTTTTTCTCTGCCAAAATCAAACTCTTAAGCCCTTTGAATTCACCCCTCATATTACTAGCACCATCATAGCCTTGACCACGAGATTTAGACAAACTTAAACCAAGTTTAGAAAACAGCCCATCAATCGCTGCTTTTAGTGATTTTGCAGTAGTATCTGAAACATGAATTATGCCAATAAAACATTCAACAATGGACCCCTTTCTGTTTACATACCGAAGTACAACTGCCATTTGTTCTTTAATTGCAACATCACGAGCTTCATCAACTAGCAAGGAAAAGTAATCATTGCCGAGATCAGTAATTATTGCTTTAACAGTCAAATCAGCACAAGCTTGAGCAAGATCTTTCTGAATTTTTGGTGAAGTCATTTTGTGATTATCGGGGGCATTTTGCAAGACCACATGACTCATCTCCTTATTTGGCTTAGTATAAAACTTTAGAGTTTCAAGAAATAAACCTTGTTTATTTGAACTTTCAGATTCATCATGTCCCCGAAAAGGCTGACCATTTCGTAGTAAGTATCTAGCACAATCTAAAGAAGCTTTCAGGCGAATACGGTAATCAATTCTTTGTTGTTCAGAAATATTTGAAAAGGCAATATCAATATGTTGGTTTTGCTTCATCAAATCTTGACCAGCTTGATAAGATCTATTGTGAACACTCCTATGATCTCCAACATGAACTTTGATTCTATCCTTCTTCTGCCAATTTTTGAACCCCACACCGACAAATGCCTCCTTCGCTGAACCACTACCTCTAACCTCCATATCAAATAGATAACAATATAAGCAAAAACATGCATCTCGTGATACACTATACTCCAACCAAGAACCAAATTCTTCATACCACTTAGAATTGAATCTACGCATTTTTTCAAACATTTCCGTTTGAGGGAATGGTTTAAGAATTGGTTGAGTTGGACCCTTGAGCAAATAAGCTCTCCGAATATCCTCTCTCTCTATAGGATTTGATGTCATTGAATAAAGTGAAGGTCTTTTTCCTGGATCCGCTTCAAGATTTTCTATATTAATTTTTGCTTCAGGTGGTGATTGAAAACTTTGAAATTGAGATGCTTGTGGTGGTACACTTTGTCTTTGAGATTGAGGAGAATTTTCAACAATTGAAACATTTTGTCTATGAGGTTCATAGGATTCAGGTTCTGTATTTGTGCTCTTTTGACGTTTGAAATAAGATTGTATCCCTGACATAATTTTTCCAAGACCTGTGAAGGGTACAGAAAAATAATAGAGAGAATAAGTTAGTACTTTTTTATCCCAAATAAATATTATATGGATTCAAAATTGCAATATGGATTCAAAATTCACTATATCTGCCTGATATGATCAACGGATTCCAAATGACAGGTCTGGAATATGAAATGGGAACAACTGCAATAATCAAAATATAGTTTAAACTTCAAATATCAAAGAGATATAACATATAAACATTTGATAATGACAGATGACAGATAAATATATATTTGATAAAAGTCCTTTTCCTTACCCAATACTTTATTATCTAATTATTTGAATATTAGGTTGCTCTTACAAACTTTGATACGTATAATAGAGAGAATCCCAAGATTTCAAACTTGGTGTTAAAAAGCCGTTTCTTATTAATTAAATAACCAAAAGGCTGGGGACTATGAGGCTTTCATTTATATTTTTGTTGAGGCAAATGTTTGTGGAAAACTTTTATGCTTAAAGGAAATGCTTTTCTCAAATTCACAACTAGTGGGGAACTTTATTCACATTCTGTTCTAAGAATAAATTGAGTAATTAGCTCATTATAATATGATTGAACCAAACTATTTAGATGTGAACAATGATGTATATTTAGATTGAACCAAGCTATATTTATAGATTTTATCTAACCGACTTTTCCTAATATATATTATAATATTTAAACTTCTACCACTTTCTTCAATTTTCCACAGCCTTCTTTTTCTTCTTGCTTTTCAAAATTGTCTTCTCTTCTTTTTTTTGTTTCTTTGACTAATTTATATTATTTAACCAACTTCTACAACTTTCTACCAATCTGTTGCCAATTTCCGTGTTTTTCTGGTAGATGGTAGATAGCTCTTATAGCTTCTTCATTTTTCTAGACTAACAATAGGAAAAAATTGATTTCCAACAATTAGGACTCAAATGAAATGAAAGCTCACAGAGCCATAAAGTTATAAAATGGCAATGACAAAAGAACCAAGAACTACACAACAAAAGAACTAAGAACTACACAGCAACAAAAAAAACAACAAAAAAATTAATGAGGTGGAGCTTGCCTCAAAAGCCAAATCTGCTTGCCTCAAAAAAATTAGAGTTTTGATGTGCTTGCCCTCAAATCTGCGCTCAAGCTGCGCTGAATGGAAGGAAAGATGCTGAATGGAAGCCAAATCTGCGCTCAAATCCGCTTGCCCTCTTTTGCAGAAAGAAAAATGAGTGAGAGCGTAGGGTGAGAGAGGCTTGCCCTCTTTTGCAGAAAGAAAAATGAGTGACAGAGGTACGGTGAGAGGCTTAGCTGTGAGAGAAAGTATAAAAAAAAAATAAAAAAAAAAAATTTACAAATTTCCTGTGTCCGCACGTGCGGTCATTTGACCCAACGTGGGTCCGCGCCTGTTATAGATATTCGTTTTGTGTGTCGGAGTTTTTTTTTTTTTTTTGGTTTCAAAAATTGCGGGTTCTACAAAATGTTGTGTTTGTAGGAAAGTTGTTGTGGTCATGTTAAATGATAGATGCAAAATCCTAAAAAAATATACATGATATTGCCACGTAGAGGTAAGAAAAAGAAAGTTTGCGCATGTTTGATTTATTTGATTTGA